TTAATTAGAAGGTTGGCATTTTGCTATAAATAAATGGGTTTGGGTTGAATTTTGGGCACGCGGCCCCAAAAAGGTTCGCCACCACTGGTATAGTCGGTTAGAGGAGCTTACTTTGGCACAGAAGGGCTCGGGCCAGTATCTCCAGCTCAGTAGGAGGTACTGCCCGGGCTCGAATCCTGGAGAAGACATGCTTGTGATTGCCCGTCCTTTTCATAGGAGGCAAAAGTGGTTGCCTATTAGGTGACTCCACAATAAAATGGCCACCACTTCCGGCCTTAGGAGTGGCCAGTGCTGAATAAGAAAGTTCCCTCCATTAGTTATATATTTAAAACAATAAATCCGGCGTTTTCGATATTGGGATACACTTTAGTAATATGTATATATTTTTTACTCTAAATGGTGGTAAAAATAAAAACTGGAATAAAATTAAAAAGCTGCAGTAATCTTAGTAACAATACTAATAAGCATAAAAGGAATCTATTTTTATCTTTTCAGAACAACAAAAACCTAAAACTTAGTACTGATGTGCAAATTCTTACAGTTCCGAAATCTTGTCAACCTAAGTTAGAATTTATTATCTGAATTCAGTTTTCAAAATTTTCTGATATTTTTAGCTTTCTAATAGTTTACTCATTTAGCTGAATTTGCTTCCTTTTGTACATATTTCAATGAATGATTAAACCAAATCATTTTCCTTAAACTGTATGAATTTGTAAATTAAGAAGTGTTTTGCTTTCGAAATTGTTTCTTGGAGAGTTCAAAAGCATAACTATTTTGTTTAGGGTTGGAAGATCCGCTCCGGAACTGATTAATAAAACTATTTCTCTTTCCTGAGCAAATTAACTCCGATTCCAGAAAAATGAAGGTTTTTTTTTTTTTTTTTTTTTTTTTTTTTTTTTTTTTTTTTTTTTTTTACAGTTCACAGATAACTCTCGGTGTAAGCGTGCAAGAATTAAAGATCTACAGTCTGATTTGCGGAAACTAGAGAAGCCCTTGTTGTTGGAAGAGTACCAGGAAAGTTCGATTCCCATGTTATTGGAAAAATGAACGTTTATCCTCCCATGTTAAAAATCAGTTTCATTTTTATCATTTCCGATCTTTTTGAAACATTTATATTTTAGTATTTTATTATTAGCTCTGCGTATAAAGGAAGTTTCAGTGAGGCTCAAACTTACAGTTGAAATAAACCAGTTTAGGGAGTTAGCTTTTGACTGAGTTGATTTTTCCGATCCCATTGTTCGTTCAATTCTTTCCGTTCGTCGCTCCATCCTCGGTAATCAGTCTTGTTTTACCCCTCGTTCCGGATCTAAGATTATTGTTAGTGAGCAGTGAGTTATAAAAAAGCTCCGATTCATTTCAGTGAGCGAATGATTCTGATTTGATCCCATAAAAGAACGATTCTGCCCATCACAAGTCATATTACCTTATTCCGTGGTACCAACTAACTAATCAGATATTATAAGAAATTTAACTCGACTTTTCTTTCGATTTTTTTTAATGAAACTCCCTTTATTAATGAAACTCTAGCTTTGGAAAAATTAAATGGAAACAATAAACATGCAAAATCGTGATTCATAACTCTCGCTCGGGAAGTTTTTACTGTTTTATTAGTCTAAAGGGGCTTTGTTCCTGGAGTACTATTGTTTTCCTTTTGAGATTTTTCGTTGATTCACTATAAATGTCCGTTTCACTTTTCAAACTGTTGCTACCAAATGTTAGAGTACTGCATTATATTTCAAGAAATTAAATAATGAAAAATCTGCATAAATGTATGTGTATTTCTCGCATTGTGATAAAACAACGGTACATAGAGCCATCGAATTTCAAATGACGTAATCCTCCTGCGAATATGGGCATGTGGAAGCCCAAATTTGAAATTTGGAATTTGTTTTATTATCGATTTCATATTTTGTAAAACTTTAACAAATTTTTTGATTAACAAACTCAAGGATTTCAAAGCGAGCCATGGCAATGTTGTACAGAAGAAACATTTTATCTCCAACTCGCGAAACTGTGTATCGGAAATTCTAACGATATGCTCAATTTAAAACTATTTTGCGATATTGCTCTTGAACTGAATCTTATGGTTTAAGTACGAAGAACATGATATTTAACAACTAAAGGTAACAGACAAATGTTAAAGAAAAAAAGCCCCTTTGGATGTAATTTAAAATCTGAAACCTTTCAGATTTTTTTTAGGTCTAATTTTATTTAAATGAGTATAAGATGATCTTGCATTAACATGATTTTTTTTTGAATAACCTTCTTTTATCTACTTATGAAATTACACTTTATAAGTCTTGCACCTCATTAAGTTCTTGGTCTTTCGAAAAGTTTATAAATGTGTTCATTTTATTTACATCACAGTACCTATGAGATAAATATTATGTTGCGTTATGCAGATTACTTAACTTAATCCTACTAGTGTCATGTAGAGATGAGAGCCAAATTGTTGACAGGTAATCTGAAGTGTAACTAAATTTGATTCACTAAATAGTGCACTTAAGAGATTATTTCACTCTTCTTTAGCGTCTGTTTTCAACTACTTTGATCATGAATTTCCTATTTTGCGCAATACATTTGCCCAGGTTTAAAAAATATTTACGCTTCTACCAGAAGATTTATGCATAGTTATCAGGATATTTCTGAAGATAATGCAGCTACTCGTGCTACCCTCGTTTTACCACTTTACTATCATTTGCGTATTTTTATTCGATTCTGTTGACTTGGGTTACTAAAGTAACGTATTTATTTACCTGAACTAATTCGAGTTGAATCGCTTCGGATAACGCTTCCGCGTACACGATAACCTGGTAAGGAATTCCCGCCCGTCGCGTGTCCTCTCGTGGTGTCAATCTGTGGCCACAAACTTATGACCCTCGAAGCAATTTTATGCGGCCCCGCGAATACATTTCAATTATCTATTTGATGAAAATGCGATGCTACAAGGATTTCACGAATTTAATTTTTTGGCAGCCTGAATTTGCATTCTTTTCATTACATTAAAAACGAACGTGAATAACGAGTCAGAAAATTTACAAAAGAGCTAATTAATTTGCATAGTGATATAAATCAGGTTCAAAGATTTGAAAGCATGGATGTGATTAACTTTTTTCTTATTTTTCAGAAGATAAATACGCTCTTTTACGAATTTTTACACTAGAAATAATCGCTTCCTTCGAGAATATATTTATATGTGAACAGTTTGTTTTCTACAACTGAAACTTTTATGAAAAATAAACCGTATTGATCGGATCATAACTAAAATGACATCAACTGTCAAACCGTCATAAAAAATTCAGAAGTTTATAATTATTTGCATACAAACATGTGTATTTTTATTTATGTTCAGAAGAAAAATTTGAAACTCTCTGAGAGCTTTGCACAGGAAGCAGTAGTAGAAGCGACCAAATTAAACTCTGAAGGAAGAGAATGCATCTCCTAGTTTTAAACAAGAACATCTTGAGAGACAAATCCGATATACCCTCACCTCTCTTTCCTTATCCTCAATCTTTCGCGATTACTTTTGCCTTAACAATTTTTTAAGTACCATCCCATGCTACCAAGACAGTATACATTTACAAACATATATACCATCACAAGGATTCGAACACAGCCCCAAAGCTATGGAAGACGACTTCCCTTTCAGACATGTCAACAGGACGGGGCAACACTCAACATGAATACCATTAACTTCAGCTACTCCTAGAAAATAGTCTCAATAACTACATATTACTTATATACTATTTTTTCAGACAGATTAATGGACCCATTTATGGCAGTGTTTCTAAGCTAGGAAGTATTACAATGTATTTCCTCTTTTCTTACCACATGCTTTGAATGGATATAGATATAGAAAGCTAGATAGGTAAATATAGATATATACACACTGCGTCCATAAGAGTTTTTACGGTTACAGTCGAAAAAAAAGACCGCAGTTCTAAAATATCGTGGTCGAAAATAAAGCGGTTCAAAAACTTCCCAGTTTAAAAAAGTCGTCGTCGAAAATATCGTGGTAAAAAATAAAGTACCTACAAATCATCGAATGACGATAACATCGCATACAATGCTTTTTTCAAAATGCATAGTGAAATATTATGTAAAGAATGAAATGAGCTAATTTCCCCTGAAGAGTTGGTACTATTTCGGTTTTCTTTCAATTGTTCATTTTTAAGTAATTTTCTTTACATGGCTTTAATTATTATTAACAATTTTTGACACAATCCACTACTATTGGCCATTGCTGGTAAAGCAATTTTTCCATGCAGATTTAACTTTTAATATTTAATACTTGTAAAAAAATTTTCTTAAACATTTTAAAATTTTTAAATGTTTTAATATTACTTAAAATTTATAAATTTGTATAATTGGAATTTACTTAGACATCAAACTGTAATTCGTTTACTTTATTAGCTTTCTGAATTTAAATTGAAATATTAGAATTTTAATAGGAGTTTTTCCCTTTAATTACAATTTTATATATATCTATATGTATAGAGATATATATACAAAGAATGTGTAATTCTCGAAACGGACTAAAGCAGCGGTTCTTAAGCTTTCGACTAACGCCGTACCATGTAAACAAAAATTGAAAACCTTTAGTACAACCACTATAAAGTACTACTACCACCACAGCTCTTGAACAAAGCTCAGATCGCATGAATTCACGAGTGTTATAGAGAAAGAACTCAGTCAGGATGTTGAAGTTTTAATTTTTTAATTTAATATTTAAAAGTTCTTTGTTTCTTTGCGTACACCAGTGATACGAGTACCACCGGTTGAGAAACCCTGGACTAAAGCACTTTTCTTTGTGTTACTTTTTGTTAATTATTTCATGTAAGTTTCTTTATGTAATGTTTGTGTTTAATTAAATTCCTTTTATTAAATATCCAAAGTTTGTTTCGATTAAATTTTACCAGTTTTGCTTAACAATTTACAGCTAGCCGTGAAAACAAACTCTACACTTATAATATTTTTATTTGTTTAAGGTCTTTGCTTACCTTTAAAAGCGGGAACTACTCTCCATAATTTAATAGGACCTTGACTTGAAAACTGACCTAGAATCAGTTCTAGGTAATACAATGGTCTGCCGATTATTACCAGCAATATTAAATAAGGTATGAGAAAGGCACCTGAAAATTCACGATATTTTTAGAAGCAAGTTAGTAAATTTTATATGATCAGAAATTTTTATGAATTTAAATAATTTATTCAGAAATTTTCAAGAAAATAGTTGAAAATGAAAAACTAAAATACATTCCAGAAACAGTCCTGCTTTAATTTCTAATTACTGGCTAAAGAACATTGAAGATAAACAAAAGGAAAGATAAAGTTAGCAAGGCAACAACAACTTTGTGTTTGGCATGTAGTTAGGATTTAGGATTTAGGAACGGGAAAGACGGGCACCACGCCTTTACCATTTGGTTAATTGGTTTAGCGCCGTCTCCCCACTACGTGATCCCAGCCGTTGATATTAGCAAACAGATACAAAATTTGAAATAAATACAAAATTTGAAATGATACATAATTGAAATGAATACATAATTTGAAATGATACATAGTTTGGAATGAAAAAAAAATATTGAAGCATAATGTATAAAATAGCATAATTATAAACGTACAGAATTTTGAATGTAATACAAAAATTTAAAACATAATATATGACATAACTCTTTAAAATATGTGCGGAATTCTGAATATAATATGCGACGAAAAGAAATAGTAGTGATTAAGAGAAGTTTGTAGTTCCAACAAAAGTCTATATTCAGAATTCACAGTTTAAAGTCTATAGTCCATATTCTATAGATGTAGTGTAAGGATCTTAAATTTAACTAATGTTTATTTTATTTTAAATCTTTACTATCACTTCTTATTTTCTACTTCCGCCCAGAATTAAAAGCGTTAACTTATTTATGCAAAATTTGTCTGGCGAACGCCAAGTACTTAAGTTGTGGCTTTTTGCCAAGCGAGAGAGAGGAAGGAGTTAGTCGAAGCAGGCCGCTTGCCTCAGAAGTTTTACTCGGTTGCTGTTTGCCTTCCAGGCCAGAGGTTTAATCCTAGTGATAATTTTAAACGTATTGTAGTGTTAACAGTTCTCTGTACTACATACGGCTTCCTGTTAATATACGGCCAATCGTCCTTGTTTATTATTCCAAAGTTAAGTTAGAGTTTAGTTATATTTTTATATTCTTACGTTCAGAACAAAAGTAGTTGGTTTCTGTATTCCGAAGTACGGAAATTATTGTAAAGAGTGAAAAATAAAGGGTTTTGTATACCCTTCTAGTGTATCCTGTCTACTTCCCACAGTTTTGAACATAGCTTTAGTAAGCTCCCTGTTCCGAGTCAGGTCCTTGCATGTTCCCAAAGAAAGTAAGACGGAACATTGAACCTGATAGTGGCGCCCGACGAAGAAGAATAACCATGGCCGAGTTTCAAGAAGAACCTGTGCTGCCTGCAGAAGGGACTCAGAATCCAGAAATGCCAGCTGCCGCCCTGGAAGGATTTGGTTACATCGTCCAGACCATGCGCGCTTCGATGAAACCAGAAGCAACATTTAATGGAAACTCACCGGTAACCAGTTTTTTGGAAGAATTGGATGACCACTTCATGCTCTACCCCCCGTGCACGAGTTTCAAAAAGTTACCTTAGCTACAGCGCTTTGAGGGGCCAAGCGCTTAACTGGTTCAAATGTATAGGCAGAAGTTCTTGGGTCAAGCAGGAAGTCCCACCTATACTTACGAGAATTTCAAGACTGCCCTAGTAAAAAGCCTTCGCTGTCGTAAGGGATCGTGCGAAATTAGAAAACGGAACTTTTCAGATATATCAGCAAAGAATCGAAAATCTCTCAAGCTTTATTTTAAGAAAAATTCACGTCTTCAAACTCTTGTATGGAAACCGTCCGGATCCTGAGATAATTCAAGTGATTTTGCCGAGGTTACTTCCCCAAGTGTAAGACTTTATTGAATTAAGGAATCCGACTACACTGGAAAAAATTATTTGAGCTAGCAATCCAGTTTGAAAGTAGAAGAACGGCGGACATTGAAAGAAGACGCCTGTATGAGCAACGAAGCCAATTTGGTGCGCCAAGATCACAGCAAAGTCCAAGAACAACGGCTACGGAAGCAAAGCGAATCGGTGGGCAAGGAAACCCGAGTATCCCAAACCAAGCCGCCGAACGTCGACAGTTCAATAGTAAGCCAGGAAAAGAAGTCTCAAGGCCAGCGGAAAAAGAAGGAAGGCATGGAAAGGAAGTAACAAAATTTAAACTAAAACGGATTTCTGCTGACGGGACGGTGCGGAAATCCGAAGGCCAAAAAAACCCCTCTTCCTTCAAGTTAAATACAGTAATGGTGAAAAATTTGACTCTTCCGAAGATTGAAGTGTTGGTGAATAATATCCCAGCCACCGCACTCCTGGATACAGGCGCGCAGTGTTCCTGTGTGGCAGAAGATTTTTTTAGGAAGTATTTTCGGAAATACCGCATATATAATTCGGATAATGGTCCTCAATTTGTAAGTAATGTATTTGAAGACATGTGCCAAAAACTGAGCATACGTCATTTTAAAAATGGTCCCGTATCGGCCGCAATCAAATATAGCGGAACGGGTCAATAGAAATATAGTGAAAATTATCCGTAGTTATATTAAAAATTTTCATAAAAGCTGGGATATCTATGGCAATGAATTTGCTTTCGCCCTTAGGACCGCAAAACATGATACAACGGGCAAAACTCATGCTGAGTTACTTTTATGCAGAAAGATTATAACGCCGTTAGATAAATTATTTTATGTGCAACAAAGAGCCCCAGAATTTAAAATGGGTGATATAGAAAAATTAATTAAAGAAGCAAAAAAGAATACTGAAGTAGCACAGAGAAAACAGAAGCTTTATTATGACATGAAACGACGGGGAGTAACTTATAAAGTAGGGGATGAAGTGTTAAAAATTAAGCATTCACTTTCTTCAGCACCAGAAGATAAAACTGCCAAATTTTTTCCACGATTTGAAGGACCATGTGTCATAGAAAAAATAACTCACGCTGTAGTTGCGTTAAAAGCCAGAAATGGTGAAACCTGCTCCGCAAACACTGATCAAATAAAACCCTACTATGATCGTAATAAAATGCAAATTTTCAAAGATCTTTTGCAGGATCCGGCACGGCAGACACGGCAGGCACAAGCTCCAGAGGTGGAACAACGTCAAGCACAAGGACAAGCCAATACGAGGCAGGAGCAATTGAAAAGAAAGTTTCCCCGTTGGAAAATTGAAGGTAACAAGAAAAAGAAGCCGTTCCACCGTCCAGAAAAGAGAGCTCACGAACACCCCAGAATGAAGAAGGGAGAAGTAAGACGAATGCAAAGAAGGCCAGGAGAAATAACGGCAACTATAACCCGGCTCCCAAGCGGAAGATCGGACAGGACTCTCCGCAGCAAATGTCGCCGACCTGCGGAAGGGCCACCAGCGGCGGAGGAAAAGTTACAAGGAAAATTTGAACGGCCAGCAACGAGGTCCAAGCAGGAACGCGAAAGAAGTGTCCCGGTTCCGCCAAGACCAGCTGCCATCAAACGGCCAAGACCACAGGCAGAGGCGAAAAAGAAGGTATTCAAGGGTGACCGAACTGGAGGAAAAAGAAAGCTTCTAGAGGAAGGCACTGAAGGGCGAGCCCGCACAAGAAGGAGGATAAATCAAACCAGAATCTGCGCTACCTTCCAGGACTGGGCTCAGAAAAGAATGTCCGAATATCACAAAGATAAGTAAAATTTTATGTTACTTTGCAAACTTAAGTTAATCTTTCATTCTTACTGCAAGTGGCAGATTTCAAGAAGTTTTACCTCATGTGAGGTCTACCTTTATCGCCAAAAAGGCGAGAAATGAGTTGTTACCGATTTTGGTATTATGTTTTTCAATTACTCGCGCGTAAAACTAAAGTTGATGTATAATAGGAATGTGTAAATACTTAAATATTGTAAAAGTTATTGTATAAATTTTATTTAAAACATTCTGGCAAGAAAGAAGTTTTAGTCTGAAAGACTTTTTGAAATGTAGTATTTCAATGTAGAAGAATTGGCACTTGCTTTGAAAAGAATAGAAGTTAACAATGTACTACTAATGTATGTTTTAAAATGCGTAAAATTAACGGCATGTTAATATGTTCTTATATACAATGTGAACTGTTATTTTAAATGTTAAGAAATACTGTGATATGGTAAAAGTGAAAGTAATGCCAAAAAAAAAAAAAATTTAAACTTATTCGTGTGACTGTAAAAAGACCAAATTATGGTGAATATGTGTTAAAGGTTGAATGAATGTAGTTAGGCTCTCTGACGCTACACTTCAGAGTTAGCCACTTTCAGAATAGTACCTCAGGGTTTAGAGTTGAAGATAGGGTGTGTTACGAGGTCTTGTCATGTTGAATTTTAACACGTTAGTGTTTTGATTGTAGGAGGCAGTGTTGAACACGTATACATAAACACATTCGTGTTTGGTGTTCTTTTACAACACATGTCAGAGAGCACGGGGAGAGATAATTAAAATAGTCATGAATGAAATAAGAATGTTAAGAGAAATATAAATATGCATGTTACTTGCCATTTCATTGTGTAACATTTCATTAAACTAGTTTTCCTTCCAGATCTCTGGAAGGAACCAGATTTGAATAAAAGCTCCTGTTTAGATGCAGTACAGATGAAAAATTGGGTGTCCATGGAGCTGCTATTGTAAAAACAATTTTTTTTTTTTAAATTTCTAGTTTCTAGTGAGAAATGTTTGTAAAAGATTGGCCTCGCGTTAGATTCTAGAGCTAAAAGTTTTCAACAAGGTCGTTTTAGACCTCAGTTTCAAACTAATTAACTCTGGCGGGAAGTATGTAAGGATCTTAAGTTTTACTAACGTTTATTTTATTTTAAATCTTTACTATCACTTCTTATTTTCTACTTCCGGCCAGAATTAAAAGCGTTAACTTATTTATGCAAAATTTGTCTGGCGAACGCCAAGTACTTAAGTTGTGCTTTTTTTGCCAAGCGAGAGAGAGGAAGGAGTTAGTCGAAGCAGGCCGCTTGCCTTAGAAGTTTTACTCGGTTGCTGGTTGCCTTCCAGGCCAGAGGTTTAATCCTCGTGATAATTTTAAACGTAT